ATCTAACCACCGCCAATACTCGGCTAAGCACTTTGCCCGAGCCGCTTTGCCCTCGCTCGATACGCCGCCCGGAGGCATGAAGACGTTTGCCGCGACAAGACGAGCGGGAAAATGAGGAGGACGGGAGACCGCCGGCCTGATCTCAAGCGGCAAATTAGAGCGCGGGTAAAAATCGATAAGAGAGAAGCACGCGCGGATTTGATTAGCGTGCCAGCGGCATGCAAAACACACATCGATGTTTCGTCATCGACTGATCCGAAAATGTACACACTGAGTGACAACGCACTTTGTTTTGGGCTTTCTTCGCTCTCCCCGTGTGCCTGCGCTCCATCTTAAACAGCACTTTGACGCTGACCTTTCTTCCCAGAATAACAAACTTGCTTTTATATTCCCGCCCAGGCCTTACTAGAAGGTGGCGGAATGTCACAGATCGGTCGCGCTCGCCCTGCCTTCTTGGCCCGGCGGAATATTTCTCCCTGCAGATTCGAAAATCAATAAACAAAAGTGACATTCAAAGCAGAGGCGGCACCTCGCAACACATCCAATAAAAGCCCGCTGAGAAATGGAACAGGGCCGCTTGGCTCTCACACTCTTTGTCATCACCGGGTCACGGGATGAACTTTAACTTGAAAGGGACAACCCAATCTGACTAGAACAGACATGGGCAAACTACGGCCCGCGGGCCGGATCCGGCCCGTTGGTCTTTTTCATCCGGCCCGCCGAAGGTTGGTACAGTACACAATTATGGTTCGATGTAAATTATTGCATTAATTTCATTTGGACTTGTAATACAGGCATTTAAACGCCAGGTGGCGCAGTTACTTGAAGTCGCAGAGCACAGGGAGGGAGGGGGAGACGATACGGAAGCCCGCAGTAGCACTAAATCAAGTAAGTCCCGCTCGATACGACGAAATAGATGTATCCGCACCGCTATTTTCTGTCATTGGATCCAAAACGGCGACATGCAAGCGACTCTTTGTTGCAGTGAGTTTTCCTGGAATTGCGAAATTTTTACATCCTATATTAGAGCATGGCATCCAAACAAAGAGGAGCGGTAATGGCCGCGGAAGAGAAAATGAAGTGTATCTCATTAAACGAAGCGGGTTACGAAGTACGAAACATTCAGGAGACGCTTGGAGTCTGGAAGACGCAAATCTACGAGACTTTGAAAAACGAGGAAGCGATTCTTGCTCAGTCCGATTCGGGCTATTTCCATGCTCAGAGTGAATTGCTTGCGGCTCGACGGACAGTCCAGTAAATGAACGTTTCCTGAAATGGCTTGACTGTTATCGTGCTAAAAACTTTCCGCAAACTGGACTGCTAATAAGAGAGAAAGCGAGTTCCATAACGCTAACTATGGGCATTGAAGACTTCGAAGCGTCCTGCGGCTGGCTTCAAAAGTTCGAAGCACGACATCAGCTGAGCAACGCTGTCTTGTGTGGTGATCGAGGGGAGGTCGAGTTCGAGACAGTGAGTGAGTGGAAAGAAAGCCACCAGGTCTTTTACTCGTCTCATTTTGGAGCAAATAGTCCTACCTTTGTTATATTTTCTCATATACTGTACCTGTACTGTATGCCGCAGTTTTTGGGCAATATATTGTTGCTCTTTGTTGCTTGTGTTGTCACCAATGTTTGTTGTTAACATACCGTACTTGGACGTTCATACAGGACATATACGTTATCTCACTGTTCTCATGAAAAAAGTATGGTAATACTTGAATGCTTTTGTTCTGTTGATGTTTGGTATGGACTGTCAACATATACGTTTTTTTATATGTACCATATCTTGTGCTGACCCGGCCCACCTGTCAAATTTAGAAATCAATGTGGCCCCCGAGCTAAAAAGTTTGCCCACCCCTGGACTAGAATCAAGTGGTATTGTCAAGAAAAAAGTATTTTATTTTGACAGAAAAAAAGATGACATATTCTGACTCAAAATGACTCTGAGTCAGAATTGACTCTCACTGGAACGACACGACTTGACAAGTTAGACTGTTTACATTTGAAAATCTGAATTTTCAAGATAGTCAGTCTGCCTTCTGTTTTTGAAAGATTTTTTTTTTTTTTTTTGGTCACGCATACCGCACAGCTGGCAACCCTGCCCACCAATATGCTATAAAACGAGTACAGCACTTAGACCACCTGATTATGCGGGTATCACCGAGTGAGCCCTAAAGATGATTACAGTTGGAGCCGGTTGCTAGAGAATGGTAAACTTTGTTAAAAAAATAAATAATAATCATAATAATTGTATCAGTAATTTGTATTCAGAAAATAATAGTCATAATAATTTGTCATATAAAATATTAAGTTGTACATTTTTGAGGAAAAGTCACAATTTTTATGAAACTGAAATTGTAGATTTCCAGTCGAATGTTTTCCATATTTTTATGAAAAAAGCTCCTGTTTTTTAAACATATATATAAATATATGTGGGGGGGGAGCTATGCTAAGCTAAACACTGCAAATCCATCCCTCTGTTTGAAACAATACATACATGGCAATGGCGAGTGATGAAAAAAGCGGAAGGGGCGTGGCCTGGACGGGGCGTGGCCTGGACGGGGGCGTGGTTACTTACAAAAGTGGCACTAAACATGCTGAAGATGAAGTGTATTAAATTTACACAGTTTGAAAATTGAACAGAAAAAAATCCCAAGATCGCCACTATTCTTTCAAGTGAAAATTTGTGCAATTTTGCCTATGCATTCCTGGTGAGCACCAATATGTAACTCCAAATTTGCTGCTAAAAATAAAAACAAAAAAAGAAAACAC